AACATTGTTTCCTTTATTTATAAATTCTTTTGGGCAAAAATCTAACCTTTTTTAATATCCTCCAAAAAAGGACAGATTTTTGCCCAAAAAAATGTAAGTAAAAGGAATAGTATTTTTTGTAGATTTTGACCTCCTGAGTATAATAAAATTATTAAAAAGTTCGTGGCATTTGGGGAACACTTCGAAAAGTAAGCAAGAATGTTGAAATTTGTTTAAATATATCATGTTCATGCTTAATTTTCAAGGTGTGCCCTATCGATCCCGAACATGTTATTAACATTATCGTTATTCAAGAAATCAAAATCTATAAAAAAAAAACGCTATTTCTTTTATTTACACCTTTGTGGGCCTCTTTTTAACATCCTCCTTTGCTCATTTAAAAACAGTGATGCGTTTCAACAGTACAAAAGAAGATAAGATTGCACGAGAATTTTTGTTAAAAAAATTTTTTTCAGAGAGGGGGTGTGTGATTTATTAGTTTCTTATAATTGCAAAATTCTCGAAAGACACTAGGCATACATATGAGATAAGAATTATAACCAGTGTCCATTCGACGCGTTGTCGCGATAATGACTGATATTCACTGTTGAACGGTTGGATCCTGCGTCGTCGATTGATAGCTGTGGCTAGAAACAGGCTGTGTTCTTGTGCTCCTGGCATGGTACACGGGATAGTTAAAGCATCACTCTCTCACGGCCCCGAGACGAAGCGCGACACTTCGGCGTGTATCGCGTAATAGACCGCGAGCGCTCGGTAATTTTCTGCTAATAACTCGCTAGCCTTTGGCCTCACATGAACCACCGGGTATAAAATTGTCGGTGAACTCGTCGTACATGTGCCTTCGCTCCGACCATCGTCCAGCCAACAGCGGAAATGGTATTCCATATATTCAGCTAGTGCAACGTTTTACATGTTTCATAGATAAAAATTAATTGTGCTACCGATATCTATTTTTTTCAAATTTTGTTGGGGAAGATAAACATAATTTATATTTCGTCTCACAGCCACGCCAGGAAAGTAAAAAAAATCGCAGTTTTTTATACAACGAGGAATCAGAAATCTGCATTTATAACGATCTTTCTGATTTTTATATATACTTCCTATAGGACAAAAAGTTGTGCGAGGAATGTAGATTATTTCAGTTTTTTGCGATATTGGATGAATGAAAGAAAATTGTAATCACGTATTCGAAGCGAATATCTCGATGAAGTTATATGGTCACGACATCGCTTGTAACGACATCGCTTGTAACGATAGTGAGATCAAATCACAAACATAAAAGAAAAAGAAATAATCTAAAGTTGAAAAATAACCGTTTAATGTGGTCAACAAAAAAATGGTAAAACGCCTAAGCACAGTTCATGCTGTATTCCGTTTCTAAGGCAAGACCGCAAGTGTCTAATCAGTCGGTTCGACGCTTTAAATCGTCGTTTTGTTCCATTAGCTTGTATGATATCCGATCTTACACTATCCGGAATTGTTCGAAGCAGATCGAGGTATTCTTTGAGCTGAATCGGAGATTTGCTAAAGAAGAGAGAAAGAGTATATTTCCTTTCGGTTCCTCCACAACAAGATATCGCGCCGCTCCTTTGTGTTATCGCAGACCGACGACGATACTTAACCGTTGTCAAAGCCGACCGCGCGCACGAGTCGATCCTGCTCGCAAGGTAGTTATAGGCAGCGACCGGTGCTATTCCAAGATAATTCCCTCGCCCGGTGGTCCGGAATACGGAAACGGTTTGCGATAGAGTTCCCGCGATCGTCGGCGAAAGGCAGAGGGAGAGGCCAATCGTAATAAAGAGCAATAGCGCGAAGGAGACAACTCGTTAGCCTTGTCGCGCAGATAACATCGTGCCTTGCCATAAAGAGGTTCTATGTCGATGCACATGTGCAGGGAAATCGCAGATAGTGAAAATTATTCCTTTGAGATAGAAACATGTAATAAAAATATGTATAGATGTAATATCTTCCAAAAAATTATAAATATGAATAATAGTAACTTTTATATACAATATAATATAAAATAAAAAGATTCGAACAAGATAGAAACATTATCTTTGAAATTAATGAATCACGAAAGCAGTGCCCAATCTTCAACATTAGAGGATAATTTAGCGAGAAATTTTTTGGATCAAATCTAGGACTTATTTTCCGTATTACAGAGAATTTTTTTCACCGTTATATTTAAAAAAGAAATGTCTCCTTATATGTATATGTATATATAATATATACATATGTACTTTTAATACAATTTTATGAAAAATACATTAAATTTTATGTACATGTATACAAATATACTTTTTAGTTATAAATGCATTAAATTTAATATAATGTCATGAAATTAAGTTCAAATTGTGTAATTTAACAGTTAATGAAATTTAAGAACATTTCTAACAGTGTTTCTAATATCTATTAAAATTTAATCTAGATAATAGGGATGTATTGGATATCCGGAAAGTAGGGATGTATTGGATATCCGGAAAGGATTCCGGTATCCGGTATTATCCGGCACTTTTTTACTATCCGACCGGATAATCGGATATTATTACTATCCAGGAATATATCCGGTTGAAATTTGTTATTATTAAATTGTTTTTTTTCTTATATACACTGAGAAACCCATTTAGTTGAATCAATCAAGGATTTGTTTGCCCATATCCAAACAAGAAATTAATCGATGCAATAAAATAATTTAGTTGAAGCAAAGCATTTGGTTATTGTAACATTTCACTTGTTTCTGATAGACATTGACATCTGGTAAAGTTGTTTACAATAACCAAATGTTTGGCTTCAACTAAATTATTTTATTGCATCAACCAAGGATTTGTTTGCTTATATCCAAACAAGAAATTAATTGATTCAACTAAATGGGTTTCTCAGTGTGTAAATGCTCTAGAAACAAGTATGTATGTTTATAATGCTATATAATATCTTATACATTGTTGCAAAATTACAATCTTTTGTCTATAGACTTTTTTTTAAAGACACTTTCTCGGAATCCGGTCAGATATTCGGAAAATGTCGGATATCCGACTCGAAAAAATTGTCTTCTCGGATATCCGATATCCGGTATCCAGTAATTTTATGATCCGGTGCATCTCTAATATTTAATTCTAAACTATACTTTTATCATTGCAATTATTTTATTTTAATTATTTGTAATCTATTTTGTATAATGAATGTTATTATCTAAATCTCTTGAAAATTAATTTATATGTTAATTTTCCTTTATTAATCATATAAATTAATATATTAATTAATATTAATTCTATTGATATTAAATTGTTAAATTTATAATAGATATATAACATTACAAGCTAGAGCCCGGATTAAAGTTCTTTTTTTGCGTCAACCGTAGCTACTTTTCCCCACTACACCTCATTCCCCACCGTCGTGATTCCGTCTTTCGTCGTTTGGCTTCGGACGAGTGGCAGCGAGGAGAATTATGAGGAACACGCTACAGTTGACTCGATATTTATACTTCCGCGTGGGTTGGCGGATAATTCGGGCTAGGCTCTAATTAGTTTACTAATTTCTTCCATTGTTACGTTATACAATTAATTTAATAAGAAATACTATATTTTTAATAAAATTATATGTATCAAGGTGAAACTTATTTTCTAGATTGGAACATTTTACAATCTGTCATCACAGCAATTTTAAAAATGAATGAGACTATACCATTTGTTATGTATAATAATATAACCATTCAACATTTAAGCGGAGTCATGCGGATTTGTACGAGTTGCAGGAAAACTGTAAGAAGAAAATTATTGATAGTATTAATATATATGTATATAAACTTTATAATTAATAAAAATTAAGAAAAATGAAGAAGGATAGAAGGTCTTGTGATGTAAAATGCTAATAAAAGAATTTAGTTTTAAAACCAATATGTAAATATTAATGTGTTTTAATAATACACGGAGAAAATTTTATATTAAGTTTTAATACAATTATAAATTAGACTTTACTATGTCTTGTATTTTCGATACTCTCACAACATGATTCCGACTTAACTTTTACTATGGTAATACTAATTTTTATCACAAATAAAGTAATTATTTTGTTAAGCCATATTCTAACATGAAAACAGTTAATTTTTACTATAGTACGCAAACAAAATTTGCTAGGTATATTTGATTTTGTAATAAAATATGTTTACCATGAAAAAATGTAAAAATTACGTTATATTATTGTTTTTAAAAAAATAACTATAACATTTAAACTTATAATTTACATGAAGACCGTAGCTATAACTACCATATTATAGTAATTTTAAATATAAAATTTTGTCCGTGTAGTACAATTAAAAATTGAACTTTTTACTAAGTACACGGTAAAAAATATTTTGTATATTTATCTTAAAACGAATCCTTATTAAAACTTCGTGTTGAATTTTTAACATATTCGAGTTAATTTAACATAATGTGATTGTATTATTTCAATACTTTGTGTTAAATTAAAATTTAACATTTCTCAGTGCTAAAATAACACAATTTATAGGTAAGTAAACGAAAATAACATAAAAATAATATAATTTTAAAATATAAATTCTAAGAATAAATGAATAAAATGTGTGTGTTAATTTAATATATTATAAGTGATAATTTTACTGAAGAAATATATTCTGTACAGCTATAGTTACATACCTATTTTATATGTAAAAAGGTACAGATATTTTGTGCCGTTTTCTCTTTATAACAGTAAATATATGTTAAATCTATGTATTGCATATGTTAAATGTTATAAAGGCCTTGCCTAAATTAAAAAAATGTAAAAATAGTATCTAATTTCAATTAAATTTAACATCATAAATGTGTTAATTTAATATAAAATTTGCTTTTATATTGTTAAAGTATATTACGCTTCTTGTATTAATTTTTTACATAATATTTGTGTTACTTTCTAACATATTCATCTTATGTTAAATTAACACAAAAATTTTGATGGACCGTTTGGGATATATATGAAATGTGTTAAATTTAACGCAAAATTTTTTACTGTGTAGAAGAAGAAGTCAATAGTCCAGGCGCTGTAGTTGATGTGGCAATCATGGTTGTTATGGCACTCGTATGTATTACTGCAGTAATTTGGGAATTTCCGATGGTTGCAGGGCTGTTTCTAACTGGGGAAACTAGATCAAAGAATCGATTATTAATAACAATTTTTGCATAACTAATAATTATATAATATTTATGTAATAAATAAAGAAAATTAGAGAAACTCTACGATATAAGATAATATTAGATAGATTAAACTGAAAAGCAACGTAGTGTATATATATAGGTATTAATGCTTCTGATAGTAGTGTGTATACAAAAATTAAACTTGATATTGACCTAGTAATCGATTTGAATCGGAACTGGATGGTGGTAGTAATTGCTGTGGGATATGAGATTGCCATGAGACTGTAGGTAATTCAGTATTCCATTGTGACTGTTGTGATGAAGATTGCGATTGATTTGTGAGATTACTGAGTTGTAGCAATCGTGAACCACGCGGCAACTGTGATATTTGCGAGCGATGCAATAATGACAATTGTGACTGTTGTAAAGATCGCGGCTGATTTGTGAGTGGCGGTGATAGTGAGACACGCGGAAGCGATTGCAACTGCGAAGAGATTGTTATAATAATTTATATGAGTAATTAGTAATCATAAAGAAGCAAGGAAAGTTGGAAGGTTTTACAATATCAAATAAAAATAGTAAGGCTAATTCGTAGATGTTGCCATCATATGTATTATAATTATTTAACGATTGATATAAAAATATTGTACGGCGCCAAATATTTTCCTCGGACTTTTTTCGTGATATGATATGAAGGCAAAATAAAACTCACAATAACACAATTAAAGCATAACGAGGATCATATAATATAAAAGTTGTACATAGGAAAGTAGTAAACTATCTGATGATGTATTATATGATTGAAAATTCTTTTAATATATATACACAAAATTTTTTTAAATTAATATATATACTTTACTCATTACATGTTTTGCACTCACGGCTATTTCATGTTGTTCTTTGATAATTCTGTTATTTTGCTTGAAAGTTGAAATAAAATATTCGTTTCTACCAAGACAAACGTGACGATACCAAACGATGAAACGGTGCCAAAGGATTCTAAAGAAGGTCCCAATGCGTCTTAAGATAGGAAAATTAGGACACCTAATTATATTAAATATTTTTTATTTTATATGTATGAAGACTGTAATAATTAAAAATAGCAAACAAATCATTGCAGTAGCATATAATAAATTGAAAAAATATAATCAATGTGATATCAGTTCATAGTTGTACTGTTTATTTGAAAGAAATGATAAAATAGAAGATTTTCAAAAACTTGTATATTCTTTTTTTAACTGTAATGTATTTTATTTACATTAGAGTAATGATGTATTTTTATTATTTTGTACTATTTAAATATTAAAATATTGCTATAGAAAATATTTCACGTGATATTTCATATATTTTATGTCGAAACATTTTACCAAACGTGAAACCAAATATGAAACATCTTTTAAGCTATTACTTCTTATAACTTTCTTAATGCTTTTATAGGTAGAATAATGAAACAAATTGTAAAAAAATATATACGATATTTCTAGTTCAGTACAGTTAATTTATATAAGCATGACATATTGTAAAAATTGGATGTATATTTCTAAGATGTTTTCCAGTAAAAATTTAGTATTATTTTTAGTACAATATTATTTCATATTTTTACTTTTTTTTCAATAAACTTTTTACATTATTATTAAGTAATTATATTTTATTAATCAGTTATCAAAATTATAAGCATTATAGCAAAAAAATTGTATTTACCAGACTTGACAATATAAATTGGAATTTATAATAAACATTATGAATATTCCAGTTCCTAAACCAGCAACAAACCATAAATAATTAGGCCAGTGCAATATCGAATAATTTACAAATTCAGTATTCGAAACTTTTTCTGTTTTATTTTCTCTGTATGTAGTGTTCCTTAATAGTGGTGTCACATTTTCTGTTACAGTATTTGTTAATTGTGATGTCACGTTTTCTGTTACAGAATCTAGAAAAGTAATAGCAATTAATAAATAATTATGTTTTCATTATTAGTATTATAGATTTTGTAATAACTATATTCATTACATATTAAAGAATTAATTTTGTTAAATATAAAAATTTTTGTTTTGAAGAAAATCTGTTGATTGCAAATAAAGTAAACATTACTCTTTTTTATAATAAAATTTTCCATATGATTCTTATTACTGTATTTTTGTTAATTATTTAATAAAAGTAAAATAGAAAAGATAATTTAATACATTGAACAATTTTAACTTGCTATAAGTAAATTACAATTAATTTTTGAACTAATAACAAATAAAACGAAAAGAAGAATTTAATTCTATCTATACATTTTCATTTTATACCATTTGACATTTTATATATAATAGTTTACAAATCTTGTGTATTCTACTCTTTTTAAAAGATGTTTTTGGTTACATTATATTTTAATATTATATATATTAATTAGCTATGTTTCACACATTATTTCTTTATATGCATATATTCCTTACAATTTCATTATTCAAAGATATACCTAGAGACTTGGAGACAAGGCAGTGTCTAGGTACTATTTGCTATGTTTAAAGTTTACACGATTAAGAGAAAATAATAAAAATAAACAAATGAAAAACATTATTTTCTTAATATAAATACCAAAAATTAAAGTAGTGTAGTCGGTGGTCCATAACGACGGTGACACTGTCACGATGTGAAACATTCTTTTCTTTACTTAAGTAGGCAGAATTACTTTTCTTTATTTAAGTAATTTCGGAAGTAATATCTGTGTGTATGTCGTATCATCTGAAACTAGTAACATCTAAAATTAATGATATGTTTATTTTGGATCGAATAATGGAAAATATACGTTGTTCGAATAATGGAAAATATACGTTGTTCGACAGCTTATACCTTATTCAGGACGGTAAAACGAAGTTCAAACAAGATCAGATTGAAGAGATGTTTATATATTATTTTTGACAAGATTATGAAAGCTAAAAGATAACTTTGATTTTGTCTAATATACGATACCGGCCAAATTATGTTATACTGAGAAAAATGTCCGTTCAAAAAATAACAAACAGATATTTCCGATTGATTTTGATCGGATTTATAAGACTATCCGATCAAATTTATCGGATTTATAGGACTATCCGATAAATTTGATCGGATAGTCTTATAAATCCGATCAAAATCAATCAGAAATATCTATTTGTTACTTTTTGAACGGATAAAGCCCGGAAATTTTTCTCAGTGTACCTTTCGATTTTTTGAGCATATATAACTTTTGCCAAAGTGAATCGAATGCGCTCAAATTTATACAGTAGACATTTGGTGGCAGTTATACCTTGTACGTAAAGTATAATGAAATTTGACAATGTACCCTATGATTTTTTAATTTTTTACTAATTTTCCCAAAATCGCATTATTGTACTTTCTTTACTTTTTATGATACAGCTGCAGTTTTTACCGTTGTGACCTAACTTTAGTAGTTAGATTTAGTGTTTTAACATTATGACATATATATATATATATACTCGAGGTGCTCAAGATATAGATGAACGGCAATAGAAAGTCATCGTAAAGAGCTACAAATAAGGATCGTACATAAGAAGCTCGCCCAGCATTTTGGCATCTCTAAATCAACAAACCAAGTTTCTTAAGCGTTGAAAGGTCCAGCAAAGCTATGTTAAGAAGAAGAGTGGCCGACTACATTACACTACTTTTCTCGTCGATCGCAACATCCTTCGCATATCCCGCAGGGACCCACATCGTACGCCGGACATTACTGAAGAAATATCGACTTTTGAACAGTTTAATCCATCTATGCAGATCATACCCCGTCACCTGCAGGCCAGAAGACTGTGTGAACGGCGACTCATGAAGGAACCATTCATTTCCGCAAAGAATTGGAAGGCGCGAGGGGAATGGGTCAAAGCACACCTCAACTAGACAACTCAGCAATGATCTGACATCTTCTGGAACGACAAATCTATGTTATATCATCATTATCAAACAACATGAACTTATTTTTATTGCTCTATATAGAAGACATCAGACTATTGTTGAGGTGTCTAGTTGAAGTGTGCTTTGGCCCGCTCCACTCGCACCTTCCAATTCTTTGCGGAAATGAATGGTTCCTTCACGACGGTTCATACAGTCTTTCAGCCTGCAGGTGATGGGGTATGATCTGCACAGATGGATTAAACTGTTCAGAAGTCGATATTTCTTCAGTACTGCGGGATATGCGGAAGAACGTTGCCATCGACGAGAAAAGTAGTGTAATGTGGTCGGCCACTCTTCTTCTTAACATAGCTTCGCTGGACCTTTCAACACTTAAGAAACTTGGTTTGTTGATTTAGAGATGCCAAATTGCTGGGCGAGCTTCTTATGTACGACTATTCTTATTTGTGACTTTTTACGATGACTTTCTGTTGTCGTTCATCTATGTCTTGAGCACCTCGAGAGTTATTTGTCATAATGTAAAACACTAAATCTAACTACTAAAGTTAGATCATGACGGTAAAAACTGCAAAAGTAAAGAAAGTACAATAATGCGATTTTGGGAAAATTAGTAAAAAATTAAAAAATCATAAGGTACATTGTCAAATTTCATTATACTTTACGTACAAGGTATAACTGCCACCAAGTGTCTACTGTATAAATTTGAGCGTATTCGATTTACTTTGGCAAAAGTTATGCTCAAAAAATCGAAAGGTGATATAATTTTGGCCTGTAGGTACTATACAGCGATGAAATATATTTTTTTGGAGTATCTTATAGTTGAATCTATGGTATGATCAATATGGCATTAACTACATATTATAAATATTTACAACGTAATTAATTATTAATTAATGTTAATTTCATGAAAAGGACAGAATTATATTTTAATACTCTATTCTATCGCCAATTACTTTGTATATGCTTGATAAATGATTAGCATTTTATAATGCAAAAATAATAGATAATCACGAAATATAAATTAATATGTAAAGAATAACATACAAATGATGATTACTAATTTTCATAAGGTCTGAATTAATCTTTATTTCTATAAAAATTCAATTGTATAAATTGTAATGTGTACGTATAATTAGTGATTTAATATTAATTAATAATAAATAATACTCAAAGATAGAAAGTTAAAGAAAAGCTCGGTATGATAACATAACTGATACATTAAGATATTATTTGCTCGACGAGATGTAAAAATTAATTTTAAATAAGATAACTTCACCTGTATATCAAATAAAGTATTGTTTTATTTGTACGTTTCTATTATATGATTCGATAGACAAGTTACTGAAAGCTCTGTTCATAAGAACCATATATCTTTAGCATTATTTGATGTTATTTGCATGTTGTTGAATTTTATATGAAACTATATTACCCATCATTTAGCTTTTGCGTAACTGAGTTAAACATACTCTCTTTTTCGAAAGAAAATTAAGCGACGCGTAAAATCAAATCTCGATTACGAGTTAAACATATATGTACATTCGTAAGCCACGGTCCGTGACTCATCATAGTTTATCAAATAAATAATTATGATAATTTCAAAATAAATTCGACTTCGTAGATTGATAAGCAACCGAGTTACAACGAATCAAATAGACTCCACGTCGCGTCATTTATTATAATTCGTTTATGCATACCATCTCTAATTCGTAGCTTGTAAACGTAACAGTTTAAAAAATATGAAAAGAATAATTTTGCCGAAATATCTAAAAATTTAACTAGATACAGGTCTGAAAATAATTTTGTTGAACTAATAACACATAGTTAAAGTAATTACAAATCTCAAACATGACGAGCAATGTTGCAAAACATTTTGACAGTCGAGCAACCAATCTGAGTGTCCTACATAATTATTTGGATGGCTCAACAAAATTATTTTTACATATGTAACTAGCTAAATTTTTCGATATTTCAGCAAAAACGTCTTTTCCATGGAGAAGTGAACAGCATGGATAAGAAACATTGACCTACGATTCAATGGCGCGACTCATTGATTTGCGGCTTGACATGCATTTTGATTCGCGTATTTGATTCTACTTATCGATAATGAATGGGAATAACGAGCCGCGAATCGCGAGTCATGAGTTACGACTGCTGCGAGCAATAACGAACTACCTCGGTTCTAGAGCACGTGGTGAGCATGGCGAACATAACTAGTCACGTGGTTTGGTCTGTATTGGTCTGTATGTACACGAGACCTCGTGTTTATCAAATTAAATCTCGAGCCGCGAGCATTTCAATGTCACGCGGCTCACATGTGAAGACGATATTCTGTTGTCACATTAAGGAATGTTACACAGAAAGGTTACGCATTTCTTTGGACACACTGAGTAATGCCAAGAGTTGAACATCGAGCTAAATGAAAATAATTGCACAGTCACAACACGTGATGTAATTCATATACTTAGATATATGGTTGCCTGTATTAAAATAATTTACTTTTGGGAGACAGAATAGAGTACCAATATAAAAATGTTAAAACACATTTTGTAATATTTTATAAAAAATAGAAACTCGTTTAAAAGGAATTTAACTAACCTGTACATTTAATTTAACCTATAAAAATTCTTGCAGTAAAGATACAAGAGTTTCACAAACTTCTGGCATTAAGAGATTGAAGAATTGTTCACAAATCTTAAAAAGATATTTCAGATTTTTATAAGAATCACTGTTTTTAAAAAATCATAAAAATGGTTAGTACAAATATTTTCCTGCACAAGACGTGTATACCTGAAGATCAAGCATTCGACATCTAGCGTGAGAATAACTAGTTGACAAAGAAAGTGCGACAAAGAGTGCCATCGATGTATTGTCCTTTCTTTTTCTCTAAGCAAGTATTGATTGAAAAGAGAAAACTATATATACATGAATACATGTATTTTCTTCCTTTTTCTATGGTATTCCTTCCCTTTTCTATGGATTTGAAGGAAAGAAAGGAGAACATATATAAAAATGATTTTAATTGTGTAACTTATCAATACGCTAACTTCATGCTTTCTACAGGAAAAATATATGAATGGCATAGATTTATGTATGTATATCCTCATTATTTTCGCACTTCTCCAAAATATATGAGTTCTTTTACATTTTAAAATTAATTCAATTAATAATTCGCATAAAATTTTTATATTGACCGCATTAATTTCTGAAATTTTAAGTTTTTTTTATAAATAAATTATGATTATTATATTTCGTCCGTCTTAAAAATAAAAATAAACCACTTTCTATAATACTCTCACTTTTCTCTTTCGATTTATTTTTTGTACAGCATAATTTATACATATAGATATAGTCATAATTAGGGGTATGTGAAGTTAGCACCCCAACTATAGTACTCAGGAGTTCTGATTAGAGTTCCCATTTCTTTTTGACGAGACAAAGAGTTCTATATAATTTATAACAAGAGTTCCGCTTAATAA